AAAAAAAAAAAGAAAAGAAAAAAAATAACTTATCTCGTTGTCTATACTCGATACTCGAGGCGATGACGAGTGAAACTCGAATATTAATCGGATGACTCACGATGTTGTTAATTATGTTAATGGACGTGGTGGATCGTAAATGACATCGCGAGTCTGAAAGAGCGAATAATGCAAGAAGAGGCGATTGGGCCCTGGGTCAATTTAACCTGATTCCGCTTGGAAAGCGCCATAAAACCGTCAACACGTGGGAAATTCCGAACGACGTCGTTAACGGGATGGCGCACACCACTTGTTTAAAAGGCGGCGGCAACTTTCTGCGCTTCTGATTCCCTCCTTCATCGCCTCTTTCTCTGCCTATCCCTTTTTAATACGACGCTTTAATGGTGGAATTAACCTGCAAGAAACGCAATTTTACATGTCAAAGGATAGATATATTTAATCACGGATAATCAGCGATGAAAGAAACGACCGACTCGAGACTGGAAAATGTGACGAAGAAAGAGAATCTTATATTTTCGATTATCACTGCTTTTTTTTTAAAGTGAAAACGAATTGAAGCGTTGAATTTTAAGATCGAACGAATATATTAAGAATATGTACATTTTGATCAAATTTTATGAGATTGGATATTAAACAAATTTTCTTTCAATAAAAATTAAGATCCTGATTTACTTAGAATATAACCATAAATTATTCCATAGAATAATGATTCTAGATCAATAATGATTCAGATGATTCTAGATCAAGAGATTCTAGCTTCTACTCGAATTTTAAAAATAAAAATCCGACGCAACATTCCAAGAAATCAACCACCCACTTATCGAACCACCCACTTTAAACTCTACTTGGAATAAAACTCTCCAAGCGAACTCGATCGATCACAATCACTTGACAATCCCCAAAGATCGCAACAAGCGATCTTTGTCCACTTTCGAATCCGCGATCGCGTCGACGCGATTAAAAGCGAGAAATGAAAGTAAATATTACACATGCATACGAAATGTTTACACGTTCCCTGAATTTTCGATTGACGAATAAGGATCACTTGCTGCGATGCCTTCGCTAGAAAGTCGAGTGATACTTTGATCTTTGTCCAGTTTCGTGCAAAGGAAAGAGAGAGAGAGAGAGAGGGAAAAAAGATATTCGACGGACACCTAGGGGATTAATTATTCGAGTCGACTTCGGGCCGGGACTGGTCTCTGCGGACCGATTAGCCGGGATTTTTGTCGCGAGGCGATTAGCATTCGAAAATGTTACGCCGCCGTTACGACACGCGGCCGGGTGTGCAATATATAAATTTCCGTGACGCGAATCGGCGAACCGTGGATCGATAAAACGGCAATTTTCTGGACGCAGCAACGCTCCTCGAGAGGCGATGATCGAGAAGCTTTGGGGCGGTGAGATTCGGGCGAGATAGGTTTAATGAACGACTTTTAGGGGCCGTTAATGGGGCGTTAGTTACTTAAAATGTTAAAGCCAGAGAGATATTTCGTAATTTACATCGTCGATAAGGTGAATGATTGTGTAACTTGCTATTTATTTATGCAAAGCTTTCGTGGATGTTTTCCAATTCTCTGGTGATGGTAATCTTCTCCATCGAACGAATCGTACCCTTGTCAACTTGAAACAATCGTGGCTGTGTTGAATCTTAACAAGGGGTTGAAGGTTGTATTTTCTATTCTGAAAAATATCCTTGAACTTCATCCTTTGATCTGTTCGCGTGAACAGAGATTTTGAGCGATTGTTATAAATTTTTGCCCAAGGAAAATTGAATATACCGAGAGAACGAAGAAAATGGTGATTGTTTAAAAGTTGGAACGATGGATACGTTGTTACAAGAGAGATACGTTTTTTGCAGAAGGAGAGAAAGTGTTGGCAGAAAAGTTGATAAATCGATAAATCTTCGCGAAAACTTCCTTACAATGTGTCTAGGACTTTTCTAATCGCTTATGGTACCCGCATTCGTGCTCCGCAGACGGTCGAGCGTTAATAAAAAGACAAATCTAGGTGAGAAGAATAAAAAAAAAAAAAAAAAAGCAAGTACCATAATTGAAACTCGTCGTCTCGTCCAGTTTCTTTTGAATATTCCAATTACGAACGATAGCAGGATAGCAATAATAGTTCGTCACGTACGTTAGCGGTTGAAGCTCGCAAAAACCGATATTGATATTTAATAATATATTATCCTACGTTAGTGTATCTATTCGAAACCAATGATCATAAATTCTTCCACGTTCTCTGTACCACGCTTTCTTATTCCATCTCGAAATATCTCAAATACCACTTTCTATTTCCAAATCCACCATCCAATCCCGTCATCAAACACACTCACCCCTTTATTCTTGTTTGCCCCAGGTGCAGGAGGGGCCAGTGTCTCCGGCATCCTCCTCGCTGAGCAACCAGAATCAAAACGAGAGCGAGCAGCAGGTATTACTGGCGACGATGCAGCCTGTGAACGTTCTAGACCTGCACGAGCCAGCTACGGTTCACTCGCTCCATCCCAAGTACCATCATCACCACCACCGCCATCACCACCACCACCACCATCACCACCATCAGCAGCAACAGCACATCCAGCCGGATCCGGACGACGTGCAACAAAGGGGCGACGATCCAGACGGTAGAGTGACACCTGGCGCCGACCCAGCCGCCGCCAACACGACGCTGGGCGTCGGCGAGCACAAGATGATCGATCTGATCTACAACGACGGCCAGAAGACCGTCATGTACACCCACGACAAGGAGATCATCTACGAAAACGAAGCGGATCGCGTCCAGGTGGTCGAGTATCCACCCCCGCCGCCCTCGCCGCCATCCCCATCGCCACCCTCCGCGGTCACCAGAGCTGGACTACTGCCGCCCGCCTGCGTCACGCCCAGATCCGGCTCCGCGACGGCGTTGCACCTTCACCATTATCCCCAACTGCAGTTGCAACACGAGGACGACCTTCCACCAGGTGTCCGTCACGCGGTCAACGCCACCGTACCGAATTGTGGCGCGGCTACGACGACCACTACCGTGTTGGTGCTCTCGGAATTGGTCGCTGCTGACCCCGCCGCTGGTGCTGCCGCTGCCCAACAACTCACCCTCACTGCCGCCGCCGCCGCTGCCTCCCTTCGTGCTGGGTAAGTTTTTCATTATTCTTCTAAGAGGGTGTTCGATACCCTCGAAGTATATCGCGAAGTATATCAGTGTACAGTGTCGTATTGTTTCACGATGCGAGGTCGGAGTCCGTGGCGGGCGACCCCGGCTCGGCCCGGGGTCTACATACCCTTCGCCAAGGCGTTCTCTTAATATTATAATTCTCCATGTTATTCACCGATCCACTTCATATATTTTTATTATTTATCGCTCGAAATTTGTTATATTTCCGTTACAAAAATATTATAGACAGCTAATATCGTAGGTTACGTTAATTTATGAAATTAGAATTCGAACGATGTTTTGGAAGGGCAATTTCAAGGATCAGAATTCGAGAAACGTTCGAGAGAAAACGCGAGCGTGATCGACAACGGAACGAATCGTGCATAGAGTCGTTTAACGAGTCGGAAAAATGAAATTACGCGGCATGGAACTAGGGAGGGGAATCGCGAGCGACCGTTTCGAGGCGGCTAAGTACGAGAAAACGTACTGATTGTGTCGCGCCTTAATAAGCCGTAAAATAGCCGCGGAAAGTGTGTCTGCACGGACACAGTAGCCTGTTCGTGGCCACGGAAAAATCGAACGGCCCTCTTGCGCGCGCGCGCGCGCGTGCACACGAGAAAGCACGTTGAAACGCCGCGCGTTATCGGCCTCGTGTATCAGCGTCGACAATTAACAATTATTGCGCACACCTACCCGCGAGCATGTTCGCGGATAAGTCACGTTGCTGCCTAGAATTTATTATTAGGACGCCGTGTTCTATACGCATATACAGCATCACGCAGACACGGTGTGCCCTGCAAGGACGTTCGCTGATCGATAGTTCTGCTGTTCGACTTGTCACAGTTATTATTTAATCCTCTTTTGTGCTCCGTGAAATTGTTTCTTTTTTTTTTTTTTTTTTTTTTTGAAAATTTATGGTTTATTCATAGGCGTTTGATCGATTAGGTTCGATCGAGTTTCGTTTACGTTCGACGTAAACAGTGGATTTAAAATTGGAAACTCGTGTTGGCATCTGAGATTTACATTTTCAAATCTATTTTGCAAATTTAACTTCGCAAAGTTCGCTTCGAATATAAATTATACACAATGTCCATTTGAAAAATCTAGATTTTGCATTCTATTAATCGACTGACGATTGATTATTCGACAAGGTGACAAATAAATATCATGATTAATTGATAATTCTCGTTTCATCGATAATTCTTTCGATATCACGCGGAAAACAAAACTATATTTGTTGTTCTCGATTTATAAGTTCCTGATGAAAAAAACTGCTCAACATATTCATGAAAATCGCCCACGGATTTCTTCCCCCCACGGTATCAAGTACATACGGCGCACGTGTAAGATCGCCGAGTACAATAATCCACGCGCTACACATGTGAGCGAAATATTCTCAAAACGCAATTAAGATCTCGATCGGCTAATTTGTAACGTTTCTCTATCGAGCTCGTATCTCCATATATTCTCCGTGAAACTGCATTGAAACCGCTCGAGAACAATGTTATATCTCAGTATATTTAGAAATGACATTCTTCCGTACCATACACCATACGCTTGTGCGATCAATCGTGATACAATAAATAACTAAAAAATAAAAGAAAAATTAAATAAAACGAAAGAGGAAAATGCAAATATTGCGATAGAATTGGAATATTAAGTTCTCTTACGTTTATTTAATTCTGTTAGATTTGAGATAGAATGATGGAATTTTTCAGAATGATATTCATTGTTCCTTATAAAAACAAAAAATAAATAAAAACTACACAAAAAAAATATATAATTTAAAATGCATCTTTAATCAAATACTAAATTTTTATTACGAACGAAAAACGTTCTATGACTTTTTTTAATAGAAGTATATATATATATATGTATAAAAGGAAAGAAAGAAGAAGAATCGAACAAATTCACAATGCATCGCATCTTTAGAAACAGCTTGTACACGCACATACATCACGAAGTATCGTGAACCAATAACCATTAAACGCGCACACACCTTGCTCTTTTGCAATAAATAAAAATCAACTGCAATTAATCGGCTGTAAGATATGCACGTGGAGACCTTGGGGGCCTTCGAAAACAACCGTGTCTCTTTCTCTCCCCACTTTTTCCTCTCTCTCTTGTCTTTCCATCTCTCTCTCTCTCTCTTTTTCTCCTCTCCCTCTGCCTTTCTGTCCCTCTTTTTACCATTTATTTTTCACTCCACCGATTATTATAAATAGAAATATATTCCTTTCTTCTTCGTTTCTTTCGTGCCACCATTCTTTTTTTACAAAAGGTTCCGTCTCGTGGACAGAAATCGAAAAGAAACGTCCTCTCGTTGTTTTTGATAGTTCGAGGAGGGAAAAAAAGTAATAGTTTAATACGAGATCTTCGAAAAATAATTTTCGAGCTTCCTTTCACTTTGATCACAGATCTCTTTGATACACGCGAAGGAATCCATATTTCTTTATTACGTATTAAAATTTTAAATATTTGACAGGCTCATTACCGACCTCGCTTTATTTTCATTAAAATTATCGAGTTGCGATTATTAATGCGAATTATCTTCACCGTTTCGGGATTCTCTTAATTCACGTCCTACATTCCAATTATGCAGAGATACGTATACCAAAAGCACGTGCTGATTCCGATTCAAGACGCGCGCAGTAAATGTGTTTATTTGTCAAAGATTACCGCATGAATATTTATATAATACGCCAATATTTATTGATATATAAACACACAGATCGCTGCATTTCCTGTTGTTTTTACTATTCTAGCCAATGCTTGTCTTTTTTTTATTTCTAGAATAACTTCCATTCGTTATTAAATTTCTTACTATAACGAATTATTATTCGAATTATCTAATTGTTTCTTGAACTTAACGGAATAGAGTTATTTATCGAATCCCAGTATTGAAAAATTATGTTTTTGTCCACTTGGATCAAATTAATCCATAATATCAAATAAATATATTCAGTTCAAAAATTCATTAATCAATATCCATTGAATCGATTAAATTAAATTTTTAAATAGCATTCAATCGTTGTTACAACGATCTAATTATCTCTCTTAACTTCACGAAAGCTTACAAACGTATCTTACAATATCTTAAAGAAATATGCTTTATTTGAAAATCTCACAATACAACGCGCGAAGAACGATCAACCTCTAATCGTCGAGAAGGAGGTAATCAGATTATAAAATCTCGTTGAAGGCTCGATCGTCTCGCCACAGGCCGACGTGGAATCTGTCAGAAGAGCAAAGATCCTTCCCGTATCCGGTCGTAAGCTACTTATTCCGCGGCTTAAACGCGCGCGTTCACGAAATTTGAAGCGGATTTTCGATTCGAGTCGCGGATCAATCGCGCCGATAATCCGCCAGTCAGAGGGAAACAGCGTGGAACAGCGACGAGAGATCTTGCTTCGAACTCTGGGGCGCCATCTGCAACACTCGGCCACCATTTTGTCCCTGTTTGTTGGCTCTGATCGAAACGAGAAGAGACACGAGAGAAGACTGGCGTCCAATTAAAATCCTCGATTTTGTTTATCACGCGTAATTATTGCGTGGCGGGGAATATTGATAATTAATGCGCTCATATTTTCGCCACCGTTTGAATATTCATTAGCTTGCAAAAAAGTCGATGACTTTTGGAATCTTTATGCATATTAACCTCCATTACACTGTGATAAAATGATAAAACTTGGTAATAATATTTGGCTCGTAAACTTTGCTCTGTTTTTTTTTTCCTTTCGTCGTTATTTAAGATTATTTTAATTGCAAAAAAGAAAAAATTTTGTTCCCCATTAATATTATTATATTTTGAATATCATATTGAAAAATAAGAAAGGAGTTTGATACGTATATTTATATACTGTAGATATTATTTCCCAAGAGAAATATAATTCCGACTTTTTAATTCGATTCAATTCAGATATTTCGAAGTTAATCTATTAACCGAGAATTATACCGACGATATATGTTCGCGACTTCTTCTACACGATCGCTTCAAGAAGGTCGCTCGGTTGAAAAATCGGTTGAAAAATCCGATAACTAAATTGCGATACGCGGCATAAAATTAAAATACAGAGTAAAAGAGTTGCGAGTATCCCCTGTGCTACGGCGCGATGAAATTTGCATATATTTCGCGCGATTCCTCGATTCCACGATGAAATTACGGTGATGGCTTCGACGTTCACGACGAGCGTTTCTCACGCACGAAAAAGAAAAAGAAAAGAGAAGGAAAGGAGAGAAAAAAAAAGAGTCGAACCACTTTTCGTAGAAGACATTCTTTTCGTCCGGCGTTTCGCAATGGCGACGGCGAAGATTCGCGTTTTTCTTTCGTCTATCTATTTCCTCGCGTTTTAACGACAACCTTCTCTCGCGAGATCTCGTTACGATACGTTCCTTTTTCAGTGAGCCAGTAATTAAATTGCAACAGCAATCTCTTTAGGTATTCACATTAAACGAGCAACGTACTCCTATATACCCCTTTCTTATTCTCTTCAGTATCTCTTACTAAATATCGTAGCTCCTTTTATCATCTCTCTGAACCGATTCTTCGTATCATATTCTTAGAACAAATATATCTTATTCTATAATCTCTGGTCCATTAACTCCCAATAATAATTATTCAAAAATTTCTTCGATTATTAGAAGCGTTCGAAATCCTTCTCTCCTCCTCGAGAACGAAAACTTTCGCCAATTTTCATCGCCGAGACTTTCAAATAACAACAACTCTTCGCTCGCGCTAATAAGGATCGAGAGAGGAGCGAGGAGGAAGAGAGAGGGCGGGGCCCCCCTCGCCAGAAAATGGCCTCCGTTTAATAAATCCTCGGCGGATGGACGCTTGATCCGAAAGAAAAGCGGGACCGCTCGAAGGGGCGCGCTCGTAATCTATGTTAATGCGGCGGAGGTGGGTGAACCGGGCCCGGTAATAATAGTGTTTTCGAGGATGTGACGTCACGCGCCAACAATACAACAACCGAAGCAAGCTGCGCGCGCGCTTTCGGCGGATTATTTATTTGACAGAGCTCCCCGCGGGCCGTGTCTGCGTTTACGGCCAGGATCGCAACGCTTCGACCCCGGATTCGTTCAACACGATTCTCCTCCATTCCGTGGATCCTTTCTCTCCACCATCGCGAAACGAAGAAATCCTTTTTTCCAGAAGGATCTTTGATTTTCGTCAAGTAAATAATAAAATGTATATGAGTTGAATCG